ATTGCTGTGTGTATAATCGTTTTTGCTTCCATGAAGTGTTTAACTTCCCTAATAGCACACGTACGTCCAATGGACGTCCATAGTACGTCCCTCACGGACTTTGAGGACGTCCCTCGGACGTCCGCTTTGGTCCTATTTACGTCCGTTTAACGTCCTATATTGGTCCGAATGTCGCTGCGCCGAACGTCCTATGGACGTCCATTTTACGTCCCGAGCGGACGTTAGTTGGACGTACCGGGACGTTAATTGGACCTTAATCGGACGTCCATAATACGTCTGGAGGACTTACTTGACGGACTTTTGTGATGTTCTCGGACGTCTATTTTAGTGCTGAGGATATAAATTAGACGTCAACGCCATTGTATAAAATACTAAAAGTGGTGTCATCCTGTGCATATTAAGAATGTATTTTGGGAAATAAAACGTAAATGTTTAAAGGAACTTACATTTATTGTTACATTTATTTATTATTAACAAATGGGACAAATCCCCTGTCCAAATTATACAAAAATGCAACATTATAGAAATATAAAATAATTTTTAGTAATAAAACATAAATGTTTAAAGGAACTAACATTTATTATTACATATATTTATTAATTCATAACAAATGGAACAAATTCACTGTCAAAATTATACAAAAATGGAACATTATAGAAATATACACAAAATTACAGATAAAAATAAAACATACACGAATAAATACGTACACATTTATAAAAAGTTTTATTTAGCATTTTAGTGCTTCAAATAGTACCTAAACCTATTGATACAAAAGTTTCAGACCATATCTATGTGTGAATCATAATTAGTTCTGCAGTAAGGAACATGGAAATATAAATACTGACACAGTGAATGGGAGGAATATTAAAACAAACTAGCTGAAGCAATTCAGCAGATTGGTTATTTTATGAACAAGTTTAAAAATAAAGATTAAAAGGTAACACTTTTGATAAGAGAATCCAGATTAAAGAAATTGATCATACCCGAATAAGAATATGGTCTACACAATTTGCAAGAACAGTAAGATGCGACAAGTCAGTATAAATCTAATCGACATAAAAAATGTTTTTTTCAGTCAAAATCAGTCAGTAAAGCCTCGAAAATTTTAGGAATAGTAGAAAGAATTATAATGGAACGATAATTAGGAATCTAATTAAAAATACTTTGTAATAGGTATATATTTAAGGCCCAAACGGGCTAAGTTAAAAAGACAAAACGTTTTCGGAAACCATGTTCCATCATCGTCATGGTAAAATTTGCCATCCAAATTACATTATAAGGACACAGTTAATGATATGCTTCATCGGCTGTATATGGTCACTTAAGTGATAGTGTAAGTTTTTGAATGTTCCTTAGATTGATTTATGTTTAACAGTTACAAACCTTTTAAAATCAGAGCTATATGTGTGTCTTAAAAGTTTTATATTGCTTTTTCCCTAGCCAACTATATTTTCCTTGAATTTTATTGCAGACCAGCTTCTTATGGCTTCTCCTAACAAATTCGTTTATGGTTTCCTCACCAATTTTGGAAAGCTCATTATCCTAAAATATAAATCAACATGTAACAGTAATCTAACTACCCCACAAACTTGATCATCCATGCTTAATTATTTTAGTTTAAACTATCTAATTAAAAAAACAGGCTCTGTTAAAAAATCAAACAAACATTCATTTGCAAATTTTGGTTTCTCATAACCATGGTAAATGTCTATTAAATTTACAATTTTAGGATATATCAACAAATTATACAAACTACGATAAAACTGACTACTAAAACTCTTTTTTAATGAGATTCCATAAAAATTTACACACATTTCTATAACATTGTTTTATTGTGAAGATAAAAATATGTTTGAAATTTGAATCATATGGATCAGAGTAATTGTTCTCTGGGTGAAGCAAGAAGGGTTCTAGCATCTGAACTTAAATGAGAAAGATCGGAAACTTCTTTAAGATTTTTTAATAAATCACCTAGTATTAAAGTACAAAGTCCAGTTGAATAAATTATTAGAAAAATTAAAAACATCTCGATAAGGTTCTCCAGAATTCTCGTTACAACAATATTTAAACCCTTCTTCAGTTTCATTGAAAAAAAAGCTTTGTAAAGTATCATTGGAATGGTCGGCCACGTGGTAATTTGGATTATTTTAGGCACTTATCATGTTAATAAAAAGTTTAAATCGGAAGTATTGTAACCAGAACTACATATTTGAACTGAAACTCTCGTCAAAATTATCAGTTAGTGATTCCGAAGAGGTTTGAAGAAGACGGAATATGGGGGTTATTAATATTTTCAACAATCTTCTCTACGTTTTTCGTAACCTTCCTCTGTTGATGACGCTTAGAAACAAATCGTTTACTTTTAAACATAAACAATTTTAAGAAAAATGACTTACCTTTTTGTAATAAAATAAAAACCAATTCGGAAATAACCTAACAAAAATGGTACCAAACTTTTAACCATGCACTATTTTAAAAAAGACCAATGCACTGTACACTGCTTAAATAGAGTTATTTTATTTCTTTTATTAAAGCAATAATAATAATAATATGATTAAACTGTGCCATTTGTTTAAATTAAATAGGTATGACATGACAATGACAATATTGACAATTAATTTCATCAATCATCACATGTCATATCACATCATTATTTTTCATTATTTTGTCTTTGAAAAGACAAAAGAGACAATTATTCTGTGGAAAAGATTATCAAGATTCATCTTGTCGATAAAAATCATATTTTTACTTATTAGAATTAGCAAACATATATATTATTATCTTAATAACTAGAATAATAAAACAATTGTAACGAATTATTTAGAAATAAAAGATTTTTACACTTTACCCAAAAACAAAAACATGTTTTGGATATATTAAACTATACAATTTTTAATTAATTGTGATTTAACCTTTTCGCTTTTAATTATTTTATTAACGTAAATAATTTTTTATTTTATTGAAATATTTGCTATTTGATCCCATAATTGGAAAATGTCGGATGTCCAGAAAACGTCCGAGTTCGGACGTCCAGGGAACGTCCGAGTATGGACGTCCAGGGAACGTCCGAGTACGGACGTCCAGAGAACGTCCATATTTGGTCCACCCAAAGTACGTCCCACTTCGTACGTCCATAGTACGTCCATTTTACGTCCAGGGACGTCCGGACCAAAACTGGACGTATATTGGACGTCCATAGGACATTGTGTGTTACTAGGGTTCATATATACCTGAAGTTTACCGTTCATTACATAATTTTTGTTAAAAATGTGTAGTAGGACATAGTGCTGTTTACCTCTAACAGCTTTTTTAAATAATGTGACATTGCATGTTAACGTCTCTACGAAATAAACAAGACAAACACATCAAACAGCCTATACTATTTTATTAGATATTTTTATTTTATTTTATATTTTTGTTTATACTATTATTATTATATTGTTATAATAATTAAGTAAAATTATTGACGACAAGTCTCAATCATCTTTATCTTCTTGGGGGTAATCGTTTGTGGCTACATCGCTATGTGTTAAATTTTAATAAAGCGCATGATATACCGATGGAACAAAAGGCAATACTGCAATTAAGTCATTGTACTTTTGTTTTGTGATTGGTAATGGGATTACTGAGACTTGATTAAATTGGGCTGGAAACGTTACTTGCTGTCTTCGATACCTCATGAAGTCCACCTCATACATATTCTAATTATTTAAATCGGTCTTATAAAAGAGCTTTCTAATCTGTTTTTATTGGACTTGTATGAAAACAAATGTTGACACTAGAATAGGCTCTTTGTTAACATTCTTTTTTCTACTTACAATAGGAGGATTAGGTGACAGTTTCATATCTAATAGCGTTTTGAAATTTTTGAAATCTGCAAGTTTCATATTATGCACTGCGTATTTTACCTTAATCTAATGTAAAATTTAATGTCCAAAGCTTCCTTCTGTAGAAACTAATACAATTGTTCGTTAATAATAAAGGGAAACACTTTTGCAAATCACCAGATAGTACTTTGTGTTTTTTTGACTCTTTAGCCATTATAAAGTCCAATTGTTTTTAGTTATACTTAGATCCAATTAGGTGAGCATCATGATCACTCTGTACACTGGTTAGCTTATCTGCAGTAAGATTATTTTTTAATTGAGCGGTGAATGTACTGCATGTATCGCATGCAGTACATCGCATGTATTGTAAGTCTTTATTAAATATATTTGCGTACAACCACTTTTTTGCTCTTAGCTTTGGATCCACATGTCTTTTATTCTATTCATCAATGTACAGTTGATACATCTTTTCTATTGTAAGTTCTATGCCCAGATAATTTCTCTTGCTCCTTTCTCTGGAATAATTACTCTCGTACTTTGTGAAACAATTGATATATAATGTATACTATTTATGGTTTCGGTAGGAGTTTTATTGATCTACCTCTTTAATCGGCTTTTATTAAACCTCATGGCTTAATTTTTTTAACATATTCATTACTACTAAATTAAAGATACAAAGTTTGTTTGTTTAAAAACATAACCTTGCACACCTTCAATCGCTGATTGTTCACTGTAAAAGGTAGTGTAAGTAGTGTATTATTTTTAGATTTGGTAGTGTTTGGGTCTCTTTTTCTTGATCCAAGAGTCGACACATAAAAAGATAAATTGCTTTTTAAATATTGCGAACTAAATAAAATGATTACAATTATTTTAGTTCATGACAATTCCACCAGGTACCAGGGTACAAAACACTATGTCCGGATGTTAGTAGAGGTAAACAACACCAAGTCCACATGGTGTTGTTTACCTCTGACTGGAAGTGGACTTGGTGTTTATTAAAAAGTCGGCAACTTGCCGTAAAATTGTCTCTGGTCATAGTATGGTTTACCTCTGTGTAGAGCCAGAAAAGTTATATTTAAAAGTGCAATAATCCCAATTTTGATAAAAACGGACATAGTGTCCTTTACTTCCGGGGTACAGATATATTTTTCATACTTTATCAATTTTTAGACATTATACGATATTTTTCGAAGGATACATAAAGCGAATTACTTTGCTATAATCATGTCCATACTCGCATTTACTGCATTAATACTAAACCACATATTTCTGAAGGTTAGTATATATAAATATTTGACTTACAACTACTAAAAATTTATATATTTTCATATATGTAAAAGTTTTTTATTATATAGCCACGATGGAGGAAATTGACAAGAATTCCATTGCCAATAGAACTGATTCTAATTTTATTGGGAATATTTGCTATTGATATACTTCATTTGGAAAGAAAACATAATGTTACAGTTGTCGGATACATACCAAAAGGGTAAGCAAAATTATTTTTTGTTGTTTCCACACATGTTTTCAATGTTAGATAAACATTTTATGATCTGATAGAACACTTTTAATTTATTACCAGCAATTAAACATTCCGTAAAGTTATATTATTTATATATTCTCAATATTTTTTTGTTTTAGTGATGCAGAAAACCATTCTCTCTTTCTCTCTGTCTCTTTCTTCCTCTCTTTCTCTCTTTAATCTTGATCCCGAAGGCAGTGTAGAGGTCGTCGTGATGACATGTATCGTCTGTCTCCAAAGATCTCTGTATTTCGTCATTTTTTGCTTCTTCTTGCATTGGTCTATAACATAGTCATGTAATTTAGTTGATTCATCTTGTTAGAGATATTCCTCATGTTTTTTGGCCTTCTACCTTTCGTTGTATGATGATTCTTCCTATGTTTTCTGTATCTGATCTTATAACATGGCCAAAGTGTTTTAATTGTTGAAGATGGACTTTGGTGGAGAGTCGTCTGGAGAGGACTGCACACGGAATTTGCCAACATTTTTCTCTAACAGAACATTCCGATTGTCTCATTGTCCAAGATTCGCATCCATATGTTCGTATTGGGAATATTAAGCACTTAATCAACCTCATTTGAGAATTCGAGAAGTTTGACAGTCCTCCATATTTTGGCCATCTTTCCTACGACGATCTTTACTAAATTATATCTACGTTTTATCTCCTCATATGGTGACCCTGTATTTGTAATCAGTTATCCCAGATACAAGTATAAGTAAACAACACCAAACCAGTCAATAATGGTTATGTGTGAATAATTATTATGTTATATTTATCATTTTATTTAAAGTTTTGATTTTTACTTACTACGTCTTACGATCGCTAAATAGGTAGATAGAAAGGTCCTTATTAATAACTAGAATTAGTAAAAAAAGTTTAGTAAATTCAAGCCAATCATATTTAATAACACAAAAATGCACATTAGATTTCAATTTTTTTTTAATATAGAACAAAGAGAATAAAATTATAACGTTAACATTTTACTTATTGTGAAGGACAATGAATTCATTGTACGACAGGATTGTATTCTGTCACCCCTCCATTTTAATCTTTACTCTGAAACGATTTTCGATAGAGCCTTAAGTGACACTGAAGATGGAATCAAAATCAACGGACAGACTATTATTAATCTTCGCTATGTTGATTATACAGTCATAATAGCTGATAGCCAAGAAGCGCTACAACGACTAATAGATAGAATAAACACTGAAAGAGAACGACTGGGCTTAAAGATTAATATAGACAAGACAAAGGTAATGGTGATTAGTAGAACACGAAATATGCAATTAAATATAAGAGTTAACAATAATAACATCCAAAAGGTTCTTAAGTTCAGATATCTCGGTAGTTGGATAACTGAAGATTTAGATCCAGACATAGAGATACGTAGCAGGATTGAGCAAGCCAGAAGAGCATTTACTAATATGAGAACCTTGCTAAGCAACAGCAGCGTTAACTTAACGCTTCGATATCGCTTTATAAAATGTTACATTTACTCCATACTGCTATATGGTCTAGAAACCTGGACCATAAAGCCAATGTGATGAACCGATTGGAGGCCTTTGAAATGTGAGTATTTAGAGACTACTTAAAATTCCCTGGACAGATCACACAACAAATGTCGAAGTATTAAATCAAATGGGCAGAGAACGAGAATTGCTGCCAATAATAAAAAGAAGAAAAACTGCTTACCTGGGTCATATATTTCTAAATTTCAAGAGCCAATTCTTAAAGCCTATTACGGAAGAGAAGATAGAAGCATAAACGGGGCATCGTAAGAAATAAATACTCAGGGCTTAAAAACACAAGGGATTGGACAAACCTCGATCCCATGCACTCTTTAGAGCCACACAAGATCGAGAGGAGTATGCCAGAATTGTCGCCAACACCCACTAATTGGATAGGGCATCATAAGAAGAAAACATTTTACTATAGATTAAAAATTTAACGAAGTAAAAAATTAAGGTTACACCGTCATGTTCTCCCCTTGAATGCTTCTTCTTCTTGTGAAGGTAGGTACCTATTATCTAGTGATGTTGGCGACCACGTTGTGCCATATTAATCTATTTAAAGCAGCTCGAAATAAATCAGTTGATATTAGATTAGTCCATTTTCTAAGATTGGCTAGTTCATGGACGTCATGGGCTAGTTAGAATATACAGTGTGTAAAAGCCAAATGGAATAAATTCATTATTTAGGTTACTGTACATATTTATAAAAAATCCCGAAACACGTCAAATTTAAATTATAACTTGACATTCTTTAACGTGAAAATGCAACCCCTACCTTCAACCCCCTTAGAATGACAGGTACAACCCCCAATTTTTAAAATAGAAAGTATAGGCTTGTGATATATCGTTTGAAAGTTCTTTTCATTCTCCATTTAAAAATGTTGTCGCTTTCAAGTTTATTAAGATTAATTAAGATAAAATAAATTAAAATTATGTGGTTACCGAAATTCGCTACAATACAATCAAAAACTAAAATGTAATGCAAAACGTAATAAAATGATAGAACACAAAAAAGAACTATGAATGTTAATGAAGTAGATGTTCAAAATGTTCACCGCGAACGTCTTGTCAACATCCTAATCTCAAATAAAACTGTCTTCTAACATTATTTAACATAACAGGCGTGATCGACCTAATCGCAAGCGTTATTCGTTCTTTTAAGTCATTTAAATCAGAAGGTTTAGTTTTGTACACATGGCTCTCACATATCCCATAAAAAGAAATCTAATAATGTAAGATCAGGTGATCGCACTGGCCGTTCAATCGATCCTCGCCTCCCTATCCACCGATTGGGAAATATTGTATCGAGGTACTGCCGGACATTAAGTTGGTAATGTGGTGGTGCTCCATCCTGCTGAAACCATATCGTATTCGCTGGAACTTGAGGGTTTCCTGGATCAGGATATAAATTTGCCAACGTTGGAATGACATCATTTTGAAGTAGTGCCAAATAATTGTTGCCATTCAAGTTGCCCTCAACGAAAAAGGGACCAATGATATTGTTTCCTACAATCCCTGCCCAAAAATTAACCTTTTGAGGGTATTGAGTGGTTCTTCTCTCATCCAGTGAGGATTTTCCGTGGCCCAGTAGCGGCAATTTTGCCGATTAGCATGACCGTTAAGTGAAAAAGTACACTCATCAGAAAACATAACGTCTTCTAATTGGATAATATTGTTATCCAACATGTCCATCATTTGCTCACAAAAAAAAGTTCTCCTATCAAAATCGTTTTCCATGAGCTCCTAGTAGGTATCATCTTATAAGGATGCAATTTATTTTCTTTTAATATAATTACTATCGATGTATGGCTAGCATTGAATGTCGTGGATGCCTGTTTACTCGATGTATGTGGATTTTCCTGAAACTCAACCAACACATCTAATTTGAGTTCATCACCAGTGCATTGGTAGCTGCTTTTTTTATCTGCCTTACATGACCAAACTCGCGAAACTGCTTCTCTATTTTACTTATTGTTCCTTGGGATATAGGCGGTAAATTAGGAAATTTCTCATGAAATAGGCGAGTTACTTCCTGTTGTGTTCGGGTGTTATCTTCGTAACCAATCATTTGTAAAACTGTTATTTTATGCATTTCCGTTAATCTAACCATTTTTTAGAATTGAATTGAACGAACTATTTACTTAAATTAAAATACTGACAGCTTAATTAAAACAATTTACTAATGCGTGTTAAAATAACGTAGCCACGGAAATTATTTAAAGTTTTTTAATGGTTACCATCTAAAAAACCACATTGTTATGGTTTTTGTTCACTTTCTCATTATCAAGACCTAAATGGGAAATAAGTTTTGAGTATATTTTAGCGAATTTCGGTAACCACATGATTTTAGTTTATTTTTATCTTAATTAATCTTAATAAACTTGAAAGCGACAACATCGTTTGAATGGAGAATGAAAAGACCTTTCAAACGATATATCACAAGCCTATACTTCATATTTTAAATTGGGGGTTGTACCTGTCATTCTAAGGGGGTTTGAAGGTAGGGGTTGCATTTTCACGTTAAAGAATGTCAAGTTATAATTTAAATTTGACGTGTTTCGGGATTTTTTATAAATATATACAGTAACCTAAATAATGAATTTATTCCATTTGGCTTTTACACACTGTATGTCTACGATCAACGCCTCTCTTGTCCTCAATCTTGCCTTGTTGAAGCAATTGTAGAGTCGGTATTTACTATTGCGTATAATATGGCCGAAGTAAGCCAACTTTTTGTTCTTTATGGTGTTAATAATTTCTTTTCCTTGTCTTAGCGTCTAGAGAATAGTTGTATTAATTGTGTAGTGTATATTATAAGACCCTTAACATATGTCAGTAGCACCACATTTCAAATACCTTTAATCGTTTTATGGCATCCTCTGTAACACTTCAGCTTTCTACTCCGTAGAGAATTACACTAAAGAATTGAATGACACTGGAATGCTTACCCTATAATAAAGAAGAGTGATAAAAGACATTTATCCTTTCAGATTAAGTCGAGTGGAAGTTTTAAATTCTGCAAATCACTTAATCTTAATTATAGTGTTACGATTTTATCTCGATTTATTTTTTCTAGTTTTCCAAAACCATCAGTTCCACCATTCTCTATTATGCCACAAATAATTGTTGACTGCATATTTATAGCACTGGTGTCTTATATTAGCAATATGTCGATGGCTCTAATATTTTCTAGACAGTTTATGTATGAAATTGATGCTAATCAGGAGTTATTGGCATTAGTAAGTATAGAATAAAAGCTAAATTAGGTAACAAATAGGTTTCGTATATTGTAAATAATGATTATAATAATGTTTTTTCAATTCCAAATATTTGCTTTGTATTTCATGTTTTGTTTACTTATAAGTATTTCATTGTTAAATGTATAGGGTAAACTATCCAATGATTGGCACTCTAAGGAGATCGTATTAACAAAATTACCTCTAAAATCATCAATTGCTTTCCATATGATCGATATGTATTTTTTATGAATAGTTATCACTTTCGGGCCACTAATTTGAATATTTTGTAATCATATTTTGATTGTTATAGATAAATTTTATTTAATTTTATTGAAAATCGAAGTTTTCTTATTATTGGCACTCGTATACTATTCATTAGCACCATGTATTTTCCAATTATTGGCACCAATTATTTTGTGGAAGATACATATATAGGTACCTAGATACTTACCTAGGTAATTGAAACGATCACTTACACAATTAAAACAAAACATCAAAATAAAAAAATATTTTAATTCAGTTAGTTACAAGATATGGATATAGAGGAAAACAATACAAACCTAATAATATGCTTTGGACCAGATGAAGACGTAACAAAAAATGAAAAAGAATGAGTTCTGGGACAAATTACAAGAAGTGATAAATGATTGTACAGAGAAAATTGTGATCACAGGAGACATGAACAGTAGAGTGGCAAAAGAAGCAGAAAAATGGAACAATGTCATCGGACCTTATGGGAAGACAAAAATAAACAAAAATGGAAAATTACTACTCGAATTCTGTCTAGACAATAACCTGGTGACTATGAACACACACTTCCAACATAAAAAGATACACAAGATCACAAGAGAAGTCAAATCAAGAGATGAACAATCAATTATAGACTATACTATAGTGCAAAAAAACAGAGAAGAACTGGATAAGAGACGTAAGGGGTGAAAAGGAGTTATGAAATGGGTAGTGACCACTATCTACTAGAAACCACATTCAAATGCAAAAGAAAAGAAATAAAAAGAAATGAGAACATAAACAAAAAACACAAAGAAATAATAAAAATTTATAAACTAAGGGAAGAAACAACGAAGATAAGATACTCAGAAGAGCTAGAGAAAGTGATGGACAATGAACATGAAATAACAGAAACAATAGAAGAAAAATGGGGAAAATTTAAAAATGCGATGATAAAAACAGCTAAATCAATATGTGGAACTACAAGAAATAACAACAGAGGGAGACGTACATCTTGGTGGAAAGATGAAGTGAAAAGAGAAATAAAAGAAAACAAGAAGTTATGGAAAGAATACATAAAAGACAAAACACAACCAAAATATGAAAATTATAAGAGACAAAGAACAAAAGTTAAAGAGATAGTTAAGAAAGAGAAAAAGAAAAGTTTGGGAAAATTCGGAGAAAAAATGGAAGAAAACAGCACAGAAAACGTAAAATTATTTTATAGAACACTGAAAACCCTAAGAAGCAACAAAGAAACGAAACTAAAACAAATAATGAACAAGGAAGGAACAATAATAAAAGACGATAAGACAATAATGGAAAGATGGAGGGAACACTTCCAGCTGATACTGAATGGAAATCAAGCGAATACAATGGAGAACGAAAGCCACATCAAGAGAGTATACATGAGAAACATGGAAAATCCAGAAACTATAGAAAAAGAAGAACTAGAAGAAGCAATAAGAAAGATAAAGATTGGAAAAGCACCAGAAAGCGATGAAGTAGCACCAGAAATGATGAAATATATAGGAGTAAAAGCAAAAGAAAAATTGTTATACATATATAACCTAATATGGAAGAGAAAAGTAATACCCAGAGAATGGACAAATGCAGTAATTATACCTATATACAAGAAAGGAAACACAAGAGACTGTAAGAACTATAGAGGTATATCAATACTATGTGTAGCAGCAAAAGTATACGAAACCATAATAGAAAGGAAAATCAGAAAAGAAATAGAACATAAATTAGAGGATGTACAAAGTGGATTCAGGAAAGGACACAACACACAAGACCATATATTCACCATGCAACAAGTCATAGAAAAGGCCTTAAAGAAAAATAGAGAAATATATCTGAGCTTTATAGACATGGAAAAAGCATTCGACTCAGTCAAAAGAAAAGATATATGAGAAAGCCTAAAAAAGAAGCAAGTAAGTGAAGAACTGATAGAAGCAACAAAGAGTATATACATGAAAACAACAAACACAGTAAGAATGTCAAATATGCAGTCAGAACCATTTGAAACAACTCAAGGAGTTAGACAAGGAGGAAGTCTCAGCCCAGTGCTATTCATAAATGTAATAGATGAGATAGTGAAAGAATGTAAGAAAACGTTCAAGAAATACTGCATCGGTTGGAACAGAATGCAAATGATAAACGCTGAGATGTGTATATTTGCAGACGACATAGTATTAATTGCGGAAACAGCAGAAAAACTGAAATACAACTTAGAGAAATGGAACCTAGAAGCAAGCAAATACAACTTAAACGTAAACAAAGAGAAGACTCAGATAATGAAAATATCAAGGAAACAAGGGACGGAAGATCAACTAGAAATAATGATAGACCAACAAAAAATAATACAGACAAATTCATACAAATACTTAGGAACAGTAATCAACAACAAAGGAGACATCGAGGACGATCTTAACAATAGAATGGAAAACACAGGAAAACTATTCCAAGCACTAAATAGAGGATTCCTTAATAACAAAGAAATATCAACAAAGACCAAGATGACAATATACAAAACAATATATAGACCTACAGTGACATATGGAGCAGAAAATTGGATACTAAACAAAAGGCATCAAAGCAGAATTCAGGCAGCAGAAATGAAATACCTCAGAAGAACGATCGGAGTAAAAAGAACTGATAGAATCAGAAATGAAGAAATAAGAGAAAGACTAAAAATCAAACCGATTCTCGAATCAATCAAGGAGAAAAAATTGGCATGGTTCGGACATCTAACCCGGATGGACAATAATAGACAAGTAAAAAGAGTGTGGGACGCCAAACCAATAGGGAAGAACAGAAGAGGAAGACCCATTAAAGAATGGAACAGTGACATCTCGCAGATACTGCAGAGTAAGGGTAAGACTTGGCAGGAAGCAACTCAGATGGCATACAATAGGAAGGAATGGAGAAAGTTTGTCAAGAGCTAGGACACCTCAGAAGATTATAAAATATTGTAATATAAAGAATTGTATTATAAACGGCCCAACACCGAAAGGTACAAATAGGTCTACTGATTAAGTAAAGTAAAGTAAAGTAGTTACAAAATATAAACAATTTTTTAAATTATCAAAGTAAAAATCAAAATGCTGTATTCTTTAAAACATAATTTAAATTCTGGTAAAAAACCAACTAAAAAATCATTTTAAGTAAACAACTAAAGTAAAAGAAATCTTATATTGTGTTTATATTCAGGTATTCTTAGGATTTTTCTTAGTAAAGCAAGTGCTACAAATAAATTGTTGGGTGTTTTTTTTATTGACTTTGTGGTTTAAATCATATAACTTTAATGATTGTTGAAGTCAGTGCTAATCATGAGACAGACTCAGAGTTTTCAGCCGATGATACGACAAATACTATTTCAACGTTTTGGTTTGAAGATGGTCTCAAATATATCGGCAGAGACAAAAAAAACCATTTGGAAAGTTCACCGTGAGCGAAAAACTAGGAGTATTCGACAGCACAATATTATTAGTAAACTACCGGGAGTGAAACATGCGGCAAAGGATGCTAAAACTCCATATGAAAGTTGGAACCTGTTCACAACAGATGATATCATTGAAGAAATTGTGACGTGCACAAATTTGTACCTAGAGAAAATTAGAGGCAACTATACACGCGAACGAGATGTTTTAGATACTGACTGTGACGAAATAAAAGCAGTGTTTGGATTGTTGTACATGGCAGGAGTTTTGAAATCCGACACACCAACCTAAATGACCTATGAAGCGAACGATTCTACATCACCAGAGTTATTCAAAATGGTAATGCCCCTGAAACGTTTCTATTTGTTGCTTCGAGCGCTACGTTTTGATAATATTCACACAAGAGCTGAACGCAAATTAATTGATAAGCTAGCTCCAATAAGAAATATATTTTAGAAATTTATAGAAAGATGCCAAACTTGCTACACGCCTGGTGAGAACTGTACTATTGACGAAATGCTGGAGGGTTTCCGTGAAAGGTGCGGGTTTAGGCAATATATAACCGAGTAAACCAAACAAATACGGGATAAAAATATTTGCCTTGGCTTAGAGTCGTCTATTTTATACTGTGAAAATGGAGATTTGCACAGGAAAGCAGCCTGATGGTCCATTTTGTATTGACAACAGTCCAGCCAGTGTGGTGAAACGATTGTGTGAACCCATTATGAATTCAGGACGAAATTTAACCTGTGATAAACTGATTCACGTCAGTTCCTTTGGCCGAAGAATTAAAAAAGAAAAAAATAATAACTTTAGTTGGGACAATAAGAAAAACAAACGTGAAATTCCTGAAATATTTGTTGCAACTAAAGAAAGGCCAATTCGTAGCAGTTTATTTGCTTTTGGTCGTGAATGTCTATTCGTTTCGTACGTCCCAAAAAAAAAAAATAAGAATGTCCTGCTTTTGTCAACCCTCCATGAATATGACGAAATTGACGAGGAAAGTGGTGAAGCTTGCAAACCAGCAGTAGTTACTTTTTACAATCAAACAAAATCGGGAGTAGATTCAGTGGACCAACTGAAGAGTCTTTATTCAGTGGCAAGAATCACATGTAGGTGGTCATTGACTGTTTTTTTTACTATGCTAAACATCGCTGGAATAAATGACAACATTATATTTAGGACAAATGTATTAGATATGTATTAGATTCCTGCCAACAAAGACGTGAGTATCTGAAAATTTTAGCCAGACAACTCATTAACCCACATATGCAAAAAAGAGCGGCCCAAAACTTGCCATTTCTGCTAACTTTTCAAAAAAAAAAATATGTGAATCTTCGTTTGACACAGAAACGAGATGTTCCTGAGGAAAATATGCAGGTGCAAGGCCAAAATGCTCCTATTGCCCCAAGAAAAAAACAAACAGCGTAGTGTTTCAGAGCATTGTAAAAACATACAATCACCATTTGCACAGAGTGTGAAGGCGACGAAATTCCTGAATCTGAGTAATTTTTTTATTATTCTAGTTGCTGTTTCAGAATTATGCTTATTTATGTAGATGTACCAAACTTTATATTTTATTTTATTCCTTTTTGTATTTTGTTAAAAATATTGCCTTTTTTAACGCAGGGTTAAGTATAATTATATTCATTTTGATATTATTTTATCGTTCAAGTTATCGTATGTATACCACAGTGGTTTATCACTGTTATATGTTTTACAATATTGCTTTTTCTCGGATAAATGTAATTCTAATTGAACCACCAGTTAGAAGCCACCAGGGAATAGGTAAACGCCAAAATATGGCGAAACGACTTTTTAACAAAAATATACCTTTTAAGGCAAGACCCATCTGTCCGCGCTAAGTAGGGAATAAACACCGTATAAGTTACGGAGATATTCCAACACTAAATGTGCGACAGTTTTAAGAAGGGAATAAATAAAGGGAATTATTTCTTTCTTCAAACTTACGGTTTAATCTGTTTGTCACGTGTTTTTTGGCGGCCTACGGCGACATGCTGTAACTGTCGGTGATGAAAATACAATTCAGTTGCTGTTGACATCTACGTAAGTCTCGTTCTTGTTTTGTTTGTTGATATTTTAAACAGAAAAATGTCTAGTAGTAGTGATAGTAATAGCAGTGAGGACAGTAACATAAACATTTTTTGCGATTTGGCGACTTCACGGAAGAGAAAACGGGGTGTACGAAATAAACATTTATACAAACACGAGGTACAAAAATTACATCGTTTACACGGTGAAACGTATACTAGTTCAACTACAGGGCGTATTGTACCGGCAAAATCAAATACTGTTAGTGAGTGTACATGTAAAAAACGGTGCACACAGAAGTTTAGTTTAGAAGAAAAGCAAACGATTCTACAAAGTGTGTACAGTGGACGTCCAAAAAATGAACAGGATACTTTTCTTATGAGCCTCATAAACTGCTCGAAAGTTATTCGAAGACGATCCAAAAATGAAAATCCCAAAAGGCGTGACAATACTTTTCGTTATTTTATCCAAATAAATGTTGCAAGAGTTGAGGTATGTAGGCAAGCTTTTTCAATCTTGTATGCTAAAAAAAATAAAGCAATTTTTCGACTGACTTCTCTTATTGCCGAAGGAAAATTACCGGTGGATCACCGTGGTATTCATTTAAATCGTGGCAACAATTTAGATACCAATGTAGTTCTTGCGATCGATCATCACATTCGATCATTTCCGTTAAAAGAATCACATTACAGCACCAGATTAATTCAATATTTGGATGCTAACCTCAATGTGAAGATAATGCATGAACTCTTTTGCAAAAAGTATCCCGAACATGCCAACATCGTTAAATACGATTTTTTTAGAAAATACTATAATGATAACCATGGCTACAGATTTAGAAGACCACAGGTTGACGTTTGTTCAACTTGTGAAGAACTTGAGGCTAAAATAAGAAGTCAAACGCTGAATGAAAACGCCAAGCGTGTAGCAGTTGCAGAAAAGATGGTACATCTGAGACGAGCTAAAAAGTTTTACCTGAAGCAGCAAGAAGTGTTGAGACTATGTCAAGAAAAGGAAAATGTCGGAGCTATTGTTTTCGATCACATGCAAAACCTTCCGCTTTCAAAAATACCAGTACAGGAAATGTTCTATCTCAGAAAACTATGGCTTTACGTGTTTTGTGTCCACGATTTGAAAACAAATTGTGCAGATTTTTACACGTACCATGAAGGAGAAGCTAAAAGAAGACCTGATGATGTATGTAGCCTAATTTGGAAGACAATTCAGAATATGGATCCTGCTATAAACGAACGTCACGTGTTTAGTGACGCTTGCGGAGGACAGAATAGAAACAATACCCTGATACGGTTCATGCTCATGTTGGTTTCGACTGGACGGTTCGATAAAGTGTATCAGTACTTTCCTGTGCGTGGACATTCGTTTTTACAGTGCGATCGGAATTTCGAAACAGCAAAAAGACTTATCAGGAGAAAAGATAGGATTTACGTACCAGAGGAATACAACATAATGATCTCTACTGCCAAAACAAGAGGATTTTCGGTAACAACAATCACCTCAGACGACATATTCGACTTTAAAAACACTTGGAAAAATTATTACAAAAAAACGTGTAAGTCGGTGGACAAAACGTCTACATTTATGATATCCAAATATAGATATTTAGAGTATTCTTCTTCCATAAAGGCTACGTAACAGTTTCAGAACAAATAGATGGTTTTCTGAAACAGAGGTTTCTACTTCAAAAAAATGGGGTGATCCCTTCATTGCCTACTACCAGAGCATACAGGGCAAAAATACCAATAAATGAGAAAAAGATGGAAGACGTTCGGAAAATAATTCCATATATTCCAGAAGTTAAAAAAGAATTTTATGAAAACATTCTTACATGGCCAACTACTGCATCAGATAATATCATTGAGGAAGAAGGGTAGTTTAGGGAAATGTTTTTTTTTGTGTATTTGTTTATTTTTTATAAATTACTTTAAATAAAATAAGCTTTTTTATACAATTTTGTGTCTTTATTCATGTCAAAAAAATATAAGTTGTAAGAAAGGAATAAATCCAAGATTTTCTTTATCGTCTTTCTAGATAACGAAAATTACTGGATGGTTTTTCTCCAATCCAAATTAACTTATATAAACTGTACTTTATAGTAGATTTCATTAGTAAACAAGAAAAAATTAAATAGAACGAATAAACAGTTTTTATTGATTTCCCGAAAATCTACTTTTTGGATTCATTCCCTTCTTCTAACTGGTGGTTCAATTGACATTTAGTGGTTCCCTTATCATAAGCTCATGCCAAATGAAACTACTTGAATATTCGAAGATAATAAAAGTAGAATAAATAAATTTGAACTCATAGGGTTAACTCAATATGATAAACTAAATAACTCATTTATCCTTTTAATGAATTATGAAGTAAAATAAAAATGTAATTAAATTTATTTAATAGGGTGCGAGCAACGTCCTAGGATCATTTGTGTCATGTTTGCCCATGTGCGTTTCGTTATCAAGGAGTGTAATACAAGTTACATCAGGCGGTGTTACTCAAATAGTTTCGGTGGTATCTGCCTTTCTTTTGGTTATTGTTTTATTGTGGTGTGCACCATTTTTTGAAACTTTACCAAGGGTAAGTAGTATTTTAATTATATTGTTAATTTAGAAAATGTAATTTCTTTACTTCAAGTACTATAATAAACCAGAAATTCTGTATTACTTAATATTCTAACTGTTGATACTTCGTAATACAGTTTTCCAAAATATTTAGTTTTTTAATATACAGGATGTTTCAAAAAGGTATGTCATAAATTAAATCATGAATTCCGGGGACAAAAATAAATTTATTGAATCCAACTTCCTTAGTACAAAAGTGTACACAAAAAAAGTTACAAAATAAAAATTGTTTTTTTTGCATTATTTCCTAACTACTTGACATTTTGTAATAAAAATAGACACGTTACTTTCTTGTTCTGAAAGCATTTTTCATAAAAAAGAAACAATAAAATCTAAGCGCACAGAAAAATTTTAAGGGGTGTGTGCAGCCCTAAATCCCCTCAAGCTTATGAGTACGTTCAAATCAATTAATTTTGTGGCATCATTAGTTTAACACATTATTTTTAAAATTTTTTTGCCTCATCACTTTTTTCAAAAAACAGTTTTTAATGAGTTACGGCCCTTTTCATTAACCTTTAAAAAATTACGTGCAACTAAATAAATGGTTTAAATGAATTAACAAGTACAAAAAAGTCTATAACCTCCATAAATATGATATTACAATAAATGTTCAAAATAGCCCCATTTTCTTCAATACACATTCGGTATCGTTTTAATACGGAAAACTGAATGCGCTAAAGAATCATATTTTTCTGACGAAAATGATTTAGCAGCTTCAATTATTCTAACCCCCAATTGTTGTTCGTAATGAATTGTTACAGAATTCACTTTCTCTTTCATAAACCCCCAAAAGTAAAAGTTCATGGGGTTAAGACCTGGACTTCTGGGTGGCCAAGAAATAGGTGCGTAACGACCCTTCCAATCCACCGACCAGGATACTGCCTGTAAAGGTATTCCCAGACTTCATTACTGTAATGCGGTGGAGCGCCATCTGTAGAAACCACATATTTTGCATTATTGCAATATTCACATCTTCCAAATACTCATGTAAATCGCTTGCTTAGAATCTGCAAAAAATTATCACCATTTTAAATTTTTGGGAAAGAAATACTGGACTTATTAAATTGTTATCCACAATTTCTGCCCAAACATTAACTTTGATGTCCTTTGGTGATGAGTCGTTTTTTTTTGGCGTGAGAATTTTCCGTCGGCCCAAATGTGCTCGTTATGATGGTTTGTTATTCCATTTACTTCGGCGGTCAGATAGCTCAGCGGGCTGTGCGGCTGCCTCTCATTCGCTTCACTGTCGAATGGCTTAAGTGGATGTGGGATCAAGCCCCAGCTCGGTGTACAGAAAACAAAATGTCTAACGCAGCAGTTTAAAAATTCTAGATGAATCTGCGGCTTAGACTAGAATATGCTGGGATCTGATTGGCCTATGGTGGAGCAATAACGGCAAGAGATAAGGGCTTGCGGCTCGGTGATATTCCTCCATATGGATCCCTACCAGACGGGCGTAACGCCTAAAAAACCGGATATATATATATATATATATATATATATATATATATATATATATATAATAATAGATTAACTGTAGAACTCTACAGTAACATAAACTGAAGCATTAAATAACAACAAAAGTCACTTTAAGTATTTAATTGGTGACTTTAATGCCAAAGTAGGAAAGAGAAACGACAAAGAACAAGTCATGGGAAAGTAATGGAGTCGGTGAGAGAAATGAAAGGGGAGAAAGACTGGTTCAGTTTGCTCACTACCAAAATATGCCTATTGCAAATACATTCTTTAAGAAAAAGTCGAACAGAAAAAGGACTTGGGTAGCACCAAATGGAATCACTAAGAACGAAATTGACTTCATTCTAACCAACAAGATTGCTACAATAAAAAGACGTCAGTGTAATAAATAAATTTCAAACAGGCAGCGACCATAGACTACTCAGAGCAAAAATGTGTTCTAGACCTAAAACTAGAAAGAATAAAATTAATCGCAAAACCAACAATAACCGTTATAAATATTAGTAATCTAAAAGAAAACTTAGGTCAGTATCAAAGGACAATTGATGAAAGATTACATGATCAAATCGACAGCTTCTCAATTAATGCAAATCATCCTTGATAGTGCCAAAGAAATCGGAGGCCCGCAAGAACAAAACGAACATAGGAAACTATCTAATAAAACAAAATACAATGCTAAAACAAAGAAGGGAAATAAAAGTAACTAGCAACGTACAGAGAATACAATACACAGAACTTTGTAAACAATAAGAAAAGGTATTAAGGAAGACATAAGAAAATACAATGAAAGGCTGGTAGAAAATGCAATCGAAAACAGAAAGAACTATAAGAAAACAAGAAAAGCATTAATTATTGGAAGAAGCAAATCGTGGCTCTAACAAACGAAAACACCAGAATTACAGACAGAAATGAATAATATAACTCGTGACTAAATTCTATTGCGAACTATACAAAGCCCTGAAACGCTTGAAGAAGCAATCAGTAACCACGAAGATGTACCAGAAGTCCTTCCGAAGAGTAGAATCGACAATTTCAAAAATGAAAAGCGGTAAAGCAGCTGGAATTGATGGCATAACAGTGGAACTGCTTAAATACGCTGGCAAAAAGACGTGGAACATCTTAGCAGGTGTATTAACGAACTGTCCTAAGATCAAGATGCATACCAGACCACTGGAATACAGCAAACATAATTTTGATCCATAAGAAAGGTATAAAGAGGAGATTAAAAACTAACAGACCTATAAGTCTACTACCAATCATATACAAGATATTCACAAAAATCATCAACAACAGATTAACAAATGCATTACATGCTGCACAGCCAAGAGAGCAAGCTGGCTTCAGAAGTGGATTCAATACCATGGATCATATCCATACGCTTCGAGAACTAATGAGTAGAGCTACAGAATATGAAAATACCGCTAGCATTAACCTTCATAGATTTCGAGAAGGCTTTCGATTCTATATATCCCAAGGCAGTAATAGAAGCTTTGACCAACCAAGGCATTGACAAACCTTACATAGAAACTTTAGCAAATATATACAGACAAGCAAAAGCTAAGGTAACAAATTTATGAAAACACTCCAGAATTTCCCACTACTAGAGGCGTCCGACAAGGAGACTCTATATCACCAAAGCTCTTCACTGCAATTCTAGAAAATATATTCAGCAAAATGAACTGGCAAAACAAAGGCCTATGCATTGATGGAGAATACCTCAACCATCTAAGATTTGCAGACGACATCGTTCTAATTGCTAAAAATCCTGCAGAACTACAAGAACTTATAAGCGACCTAAATGCAGCTAGCAATGAAGTTGGCCTAAAAAATGAACTTGACAAAAACAAAAACCATGTACAACGAGCTAGTGGATGTCCAAGATGTAATAATAAATAATATTGCACTGGAGACAGTAGACGAGTAAATATACCTGGACAATTAATACATAAATCTGGCTCATTACTCCCAGAAATCAACAGAAGAATAAACTGGCTTGGGCAGCTTTTGGTAAAAATTCAGTTATATTCAAATCTAGGATGCCACTCCACCTGAAGAAAAAGGCATTCGATCAATGTATACTACCAGTCATGACATACGGCTGCAAAACTTGGACACTAAAGAAAGATATAATAGCTAAACACTCAAAGTCACTCAAAGGTCAATGGAGCGATGCATGTTAGGTATAACCAAGAGAGATCGAAAAAGAATAGAATGGATCAGACAGAAAACGAAGGTCACTGATGTAATCCACCGAATAAAATCTTTAAAATGGCAGTGGGCGGACATTTAGCAAGAAGAACTGACAATAGATGGTCCACTAGAATTACTCTGTGGTATCCAAGAGCGTCAAGAGAACAAGAAGACGTCCAAATTTAAGATGGGACTATGACATAAGGAAACAAGATGGTACAACATGGCACAGAAAAGCGAATATTAGACAGTCGTGGGCAGACATGAACAACGACTATGCAAGGGAGGCTGCACCATAATTGGTAGAATACGCTGATAATGATGATGATGATATATAATATATATAGTATATATATATAGTATATATATATATATATATATATATATATATATTCCATTTCTACTGAAGGTAGCCTCGTCGGTAAACAAAATATATTCTAATAAAATTAACATTTCGAGTGTTTTCCATTAACAACCAGTCGCAAAATCCAATCCTTTAAGATAATCTTCAACCAATAACTCTTGAACCATTGATAAGGGATAGGCTTAAGCAGCTGATCCTTCAAATGCCTCCAAACTCGTTACATGAGGAACATTTAGTTGAGCAGCTATTACCCTTGTACTTGTTCTAAGGACTTCTTCTATGGTTTCTAAAATGTCTTCATTAGTTGCATCCATTATTGGACGACCACTATTGCCAGCCACTTGCGGTTAGAATGTACCCGTTTCCGGTAAACGACGTTCAATGGTCAGAAATAATCGTCTATCGGATGTATTTCGATTAGGCTATTTTACTGAATAACGCCTTGCGGCTGCTGCACTATATCCTTAATCTAGGGAATATCCATTCACCTACAATATTTCCGATAGTTTATTGAAATCATAATTTAATCTGATCCAACTTACCCAAAGTTAATGCATATCTGCCATTTCCTGAAATGTGTAGGCCAGTGTAATATCAAAATTTTAATATTAAACTTATTCACACAATAAATGATAGCTTCAAATGATTGACTATTATTGATAGAACTGTTTGTAATTATTGCATCCGTAGAAACTATATGTAATTTTATGGCCAACTAGGAAAAAACTAGTTTTTGAAAAAGTGATACAAAGCAAATAAAGTTTAAAAAAATAATGTGTTAAACTAATAATGCTCCAAAATTCCTTTTGATTTGAACGTACTCAAAAGTTTGGGGGATGTAGGGCTGCACACCCCCCTTAAAATTTTTCCGTGCGCTTAGATTTTGTTGTTTCTTTTGTATGAAAAATGCTTTCAGAACAACAACG